CACTGGGGGAAAGGAGGGCTACCTAGAGAAGCGAGAAGAAGTGAGGAATGGATAGGAAGATGAGATGGTGTGGAGTAAGATAAGCTACAGGAAGACAAAAGCCAAGCCTGTTCCGTGGAGAAGAAGAGAGACGAAATTTGGTGGAAGAGAAAGAGGAATAGCAGGAGAAAGAATGCATGGGAAGGAAAGGAGAAATTGGAGGAAGGAAGGAAGAAAGTACCACGGGTGGGGGGAGGTGGGACACTTCGTAGCGCCATGTCTGCCTACGAGGTGTTTCGAGTGCGGAACCGAAGGACACATTGCTAGACAATGTCCTTACCTGAGCAGGTGTAGAGAGACAAATAAAGTGGAACCTATGGAAGTTAACACTCAGAGAATTTGGAAAAGGAAAAGATCACCATCTAAGTCGGCTGAGTCTACGAAAGCCTCTGAAACGGAAGGAGAATTAACCAAACCAGGGAACAGAGGAGGTGAAGGAGGGAGAAATGTCAGTGGAGGTAGAGAACGCAGGACGGCCGGCAGCAACAAAGAGGGTGCGACTTGTAGAATGAGGAGAGTACAAGCAAAGGGTAAAGCAAGTAGTAGTGAACAATATGGAGAGTATGCGTGGTGGGTTGCCTATTAATTGCTCCGAGGACTGGAGACAGCAGTTAAAGAAAGAACAGGCAGGTGTTTTTTGTAAAGAGGGTGACATAAGGGGGTAACAGGGAAGACGGTGAATGAAATTCCACTAAAGCAGGATAGGGTAACATAAGTAAAAGAAAGGAGATACCTACAAGCTCTGGATCATCACATTAGGGAAGAATGAAAAAGCAAAGTATTATAATTGATAGCACATCACCATTTAATAGTCTCTTATGGACAGTTAAGAAAAGGAGTAAGGAAGACGAAAGTCAGGAAAGGTATAGGGCTGTGGTCGACTATAAAAAGTTAAATAAGAACACTGTGGATGATACATACCCAATACCAAGATTCGAAGATATCTTAGACAGGTTAAGCGGTGCGACAGTATTCAATACACTAGATTTAAAGGCGGGGTACCACCAGATCAGGATGCATTCCAAAGACCAGTATAAGACAGCATTCACCTTTGAAAAGGGATACTATGATTTCACATGGATGCCGTTTGAGTTGAAAAATGTACCCATCACATTTCAACGACTCATGGACGAATTCCTAAGAGGTTTAGATGAATCTTTCTGCCAGATCTACATGGATGATTTGGTGATATACAGTACAACCGAAGCTCAACATATCGAACACTTGCAGAGTGTTTTAAATCGGCTACGACAAATTGGATTAAAATTGTCTGAGGAAAAATTCAGGTCGGGTCAGAACCAAATAAATTTTTTAGGGCACACTATATCAAAGGACGGAGTGAAATCCAATATCAGGAAGGTGGAAGCAATTCAAAAGATGGCGCTTCCAACAGACATAAAAGGAATTTGAAGACAACTAGGACAGAAATGAAGACTCTCAACATTGAATGGCATCATAATACAATAGCCCCCCTCTGGATGGTAAAAAAATAATTCCGAAAAAAAAAGTATCCAAAAAACAGCTATTTAAAGAAAAGAGAAACATAAGAAAAATTATCCTCAAATAAGATGAATTTTCTAATGGGATCAATATCATCATCCCAAGCTCGACAATCCATTACTGGATCTTGGGTGCCTCAAGAGTTTTCTTCCATGTTTCCCTGTCCTGAGCAGCCTCCACCAGTTCCTGATTCGATGGATTCTGGCATCAGCACTTACTCCATCTTCCATCTCAGTTTCGGTCTGTCCACTTTTCTCTTTCCAACCGGCTCCATGCTCAGCAGCTTCTTTGGGACTGAGGACTCGTCCATCAGTACAACTTTGAATGGCCAGAGTACAAGTCAGTCTGGCCAGAGACGGCAGTGAGTAAACATCTACAGAGCGCTTTCTTTCAATTTCATATATTGAGCCCAATTTTGTTTTTCTTAACAGTGTTATTTTATCGTACATAATTTTTAATACTTCTTATATTTACGTATTTTCACGCTACTCAAAGTAAAGAAAATATAGTGAGAGTTCTGCGAGCCCGGTGACTGTTTAGCTAATAATCCTGTCAGTATTAGCAGTTGTTTGCTTAGTGGATCACAATATAAACTTCACTTTACATTAACTGTAAGTTATTTTTTATTATTTTAAAATGGTCCAGTGCATGATTTGTAATAACGCTATTGCCCGTGAAGATAGATACAATATATGAATGTTGCACCAAGTGTAAAGTTATTTATCAGGGCAAGTGTTTTAATCTCACAGACAAAGAGATAGAAACTCTGAGAAGTTCTGTAACCAAGATTAAGATAGCACTGGAAACAAAACAAATTCTTGTCTCTTTTGTTTCCTGGGAGATGACTGATTGATATTTTAGCATGTACATGTACTCTTACATCTTATTGTATCTTGACTATCTTCGGATGTGGCATGCCATAATATTGTATATAAAATAAGTATCTATTTTTTTTTTATTTGTATTATCTTTATTATCTTAAATATCTTTCTTTTTTTAACTTAACTGTATATAGTAATTATGTTTGAGTTCCCTCCTTTTCCTTGTATTTTATTTCTTTTTATTGTACATAGTATTAATTCTGTAAATATTTCTTTTTGTAAATAGATCTGTTAACCTTTTTGCTGCTTTATAAAAATTATCCAACCTAACCCCTTCTCACCTGAGCTAGCATGGTAGAGTAAATATGTAATGATGGCCATTAAAGGGTAAGTACTTTCTGTTTTCTAATTTATCTCTTTAGAGATGAAAGGCTGTTAAGCCAGGCGCCCAACAAATAAAAATTGCTATGGAAAATTATATTTATTAAAAATTATTTTATTATATTTTTATTTTATCCTTTTTTTGGTCATATAAATAGTGGCGGCTGAAACGTGGGGCCTAGATGTATATAAAGCAGTAAATAAATGTGAATAATTAACTATAAGATAAATGAGAATGAGGTTAAGTGTAATTCAAGTTGATAAAAATTGCTTGAAGACACCAAATATCTAATTTATCTATTATAAAAAGGTATTAACTTGCATTAATTATTAAGATTAAAGTGAGTATCATTACCTACTGTACAAAATTTATGCTTTATCTATATTTTATCTTAAACGAATTTTGATATACCTATATATATATATATATATATATATATATATATATATATATATATATATATATATATAACTATAACTTGATTTTATGCATACATTATTGTTGTATTCAAGCAAATCTTTATATATTAGAAACATAAATGATAAGAATGAATAAGACAGTGATGAAAACATATATTTATTTATAAAAATATATATGTACGTGTATAATGTCAATAATTAACTATGGTCACTAATAGCAACGCATGAACAAACAAACTGGTTAGCAACGCATAAACAAACAAGCTGGTTAGCAACCAGGTAGATGATAAACTAAAGACTAGCAACTAAGTAGGTTATGCATTGTTACAATCTTATCAAAGTCACTATGCCGACTTTGACTGAAGGTTAATTACTGAAACAAACTATACCTTTATTGAATTAATTTTAGTGATTTAAAAATAATTATTTTGTCACTTTGAGTTGCCTTTTGCCTCATGAATTATTTTTAAATCTCTAATTTATTTGTTTAAGAGTACGCTATTTTTTGTGTTGTCTTTTTGCATGTTTATTAATTTAAGTTGTTAATTTTCCTTTTTCTAATTATTTCATGTATCATCTCAGATTAATGACACTGAAATAAATTGTAGTGAAATTTCCTTATTGTTATTACCAAACACATCTTTTTTCTCGCCATTTGTAATTATCTGCCCCGTTCCATTACTATTTTCATTCTCTATATTTTCGATAATAGTTAATGGTTAAGGAAACACGCGTAAGTTGGCTCTATCATTTAAAAAAAGGATGAATTATTAGATTAAAGAAAATCTGGTAATTTAAAACAGCGGGCAGTAAAATTAAAAATTTCTTTTTGAGTAATCCTTGGTTGTGGTCAGTATCTTCAACGTCCTCAGAGAATACGGAAGAAAATATGACTAATATATGAAGGAGCTAGAATCAAATCAACAAGAGTCTAAACCGCCAACCGCTATGTTTAATTATATTTTCCCCCCGAGTTATTCGTTACAATTTTTCACTTCCCTAAAGTTCAATAATAGTTCAAATCTCTCTGCCGACGATTTTCTTCAAAGAGTAAATGAAAAGCGTCGGACTTATAAAATACCCGATGCTGAGTTACTTAGCTATTTACCTGAATTATTCCAAGGGACACCCCTCAATTGGTGCCGTTTAGAATTAGACAATTGGAAAGAATGGGAGGACTTTGAAAAAGCCTTCCGTGCTACATTCTTCCCTCTTGATTATCAGGAAAAGCTGAAAAAGGAAATTGATAGAAGAACGCAGGGCGATCAAGAAAAAATTATGGACTACGTCGTCAACATTAGAACCTTATCCAAAAAACTGAATCGGCAGAAACCCGAAGACGAACAAATTTCGAAAATTTACGAAAATCTTTTGCCTCGATACCAATTATATATTAGGAGATCTGAAGCAACATCCATTGCTAAATTGGTCAAATTGGGGCAAGAATTGGAGAAGATCGAAGACAGAGCCAAGACTTTTCGTGCACCTCCAACTAAAGATAATAGCTTTTTCCCTGAAACTGCCTATGAACCTCCTCAAGCACATAGCATACAATTTCAGAAGAGTAGCAAGATAGCCACTGTGGAGAATACAGCCAAGAAAACCAATAAAGGCGATAAAAAAGTAGCTTCCCCTGAACATGTTCAGAGGAAACCAGAACCCTTATCATCCACCATCGTAAATCAGAACCAGTTGGAGTTAGCAACAGTACAATACCTTTGTTGGAACTGCCTTAAAACGGGACACCGTTATCCAGAGTGTTCCAAGCCTAAAACAACCGTCTTCTGTTATAGTTGCGGCACTCGTGGTATCACCAAGAAAGATTACCCAAACTGTAAGATGGAACGGAGAACGGACCAGTATAAGGAGGTCGCTGCTGACCCTGTTTCCTCGATTAGAGACCTCAAATCTCGTGAGCTCAACAACCTTTCTACCTTATCTTTAGCTGAAGACAGGTTAGTAGAGAAGAAATGGGGGAGCTGGGCCACCAAAAAGAGCAGCCAATCAGAAGCCACGATTTCAGTGACGTCATCATGGCGGGAAGTTTGAATTTGAATTTGAACAACGGCACGCTGCCTTTAAGGACCTCCAACCAGCCTTAACCACCACGTGGTCAGTCACGTGACCACCAGTCACGCCCCTTTTCGATCCTGTGACCCTCATATTTTCCCTCCACTCCTCTCTCTAAGAGGCTGAGTGTACCCGACCGCCATCTTCTTTTCATGTACTTACGAGGTTTGCATCTCCTATGACGTCACGAGGTCTCCTTTCGACCCTGTGACCCTCACATTTTCCCCCCACTCCTCCCTCAGAGAGGCTGAGTGTACCCTGCCGCCATATTGTTTTCAAGTACTTACGAGGTTTACGCCTTGTATATCGTCACGCCCCTTTTCGATCCTGTGACCCTCACATTTTCCCCCCACTCCTTTCTAAGATGATAAGCCCGGCCGCCATTTTGTTTTTTCCTGTAATCTTCCTAATGATTATGTTATATATAATCTTCCTAATGTTTATCTTTTACATAACCTTCTCAATGTTTACCTTTTCAGAGTCACGTGACCTGCGATTTGAGTGCCGGGGGAGGGACTTTGTCCGCCATTTTGTTTTTCTATAACTCCCCTATTGTTTACCTTTTTCATAATGACAAATCTGGCGCTTCCCCCTCCATCGCAACCATTATAACCAGCATAACCTTACAGTAACCTTCCTAATTTTTTATTATGGTAATGGGTTCTTCATGGAATTCTGCGGACCCCCCTAGAGGCCTTCGGAGGCTAGGGCCGAGGTCCTTTTTGCTCTAAAACCAACCGTTTCCGAGATATTCGATATTTTATGTTTTTATTATTTTTCAAAATAATATATTTATTTATTTTTTTATTATTCATTATTCTATGTAAACAGGATCATATATATTTGTGACGAATCTCGCGTTCCTCTCTCCTCCCAACTATTATAACCTTACAGTAACCTCCCTACTTTTTTTTATTATGGTATTGGGTTCTATATGGGATTCTGTGGACCCCCCTAGAGTCCTTCGGGGGCTAGGGCCCAGGTCCGTTTTTCTCTAAAGCCAACCGTTTTCGAGATATTCGACATTTTATGTTTAATTTATGATTATTATTTGGAAAAAATATATTTATTGTAGTAATACTGTAAAAGGCCTCTGGAGATTTCCTATTTAAATATTTTTAAGTAATTTTAGGTATGTAAACATTACACATAATTCTATTGGGCAGATAGCGGATGGGCTTTGACCCCTTTAATCCTTAAAATATAAACAACCTCTTAATCCTTATCTAAGTATAAACAAAGGACTTGGACCTGTAATCTCTTATCTCTTATTGTTCTCCTTCACGCGTAAACATGTACTTTGCCCTTTTGAATCCTCAAAATGTAAACAACTTCTTAATCAGTATCTAAGTATAAACAAATGACTTGAGCATTTATTCCCTTATCTCTTAGTGTTCTCCTTTTTTACGTAAATATAGACTTTGGCCCCTTTAATTCTTAAAATATAAACAACCTCTTAGGTCTTCTTAATCCCTATCCAAGTATTATATTTATGGGAAATCTAGCGCTCTTCCCTCCATCCCAACCTTTATAACTCTGCAGTAACCTCCCTGCTTTTTATTATAATATTGGTTTTTTACTGGAAGTCTACGTGTTAGTAATAATGTAAACGGCCTCTGAAGATTTCGTATTGGAATATTTTCAAGAGTTAACGAATCGGAGACAGTGGAGACTTTAGAAGTAATATCTTTATTCATAATGTTACAAATGGCATCTAAAATATAATATAAGTAATATAATATGGATATATGAGTTGACTACATCAGTTCACTCCAGGTCTCCTACAGTGAAGAGTCTGACTCAAGAATGTAACTGAATAAGTGATTTTGGTGTGAGGATCATAGGGTTATATGCTCAGAAATAGTAGGGGGGATGAATCAATTCTGGTCGGTCTAGGAAGCGTGTGAATGAAGTTAAGAATTGATATCCTTATCTTTTAGAATTGATATGAAGTCTGTGGGAGAAGTCGGAAGAGGACGGGAAAGGAAGTTATCAATAGTTAATATTCTTAAGATGTCTGTGAGAAAGTCCCCTTTTGCTGAAAAGGATTATTGTTCCCTAAGTCTTGATAAGTGTCTTCTGTCCAGTCAGTACATTCTAGATAACTATTTCTAAGCTATCTGAGATAGCTTGACCTGGCTATCTAGGGCTTTGATAAAGGTCATGAAAAAGGTCAATGAATGATTTAAATTATTAAATTAAATAATAGTTAATATTAATAGTTGTTACGGATTAAGTCCATTCCGTAACTAAGTAATTTTAGGTACGTAAACACTACACGTAATTCAATTACGCAGATAGCGGATGGACTTAGGCCCCTTTAATATTTAAGATATAAACAACCTGTTAGGTCTTCTTAATCCCTATCTAAGTGTAAACAATGGACTTGAGTATTTATTCCCTTATATCTTATTATTATCCTTTACACGTAAACATAGACTTGGCCCTTTTAATCCTTAAAAGATCGAACTGTAAACAATGGACTTTTAACATTTAATTCTCTATCTTTTTTTTTTTTTTTCATTTTCCGTCTGGAAGTAGCACTTACAGTAATTCGTAAGGAGTCCGGTAGGATGCGACACTCGTTTCACGATTTTATGAAACTATTGCGAGCCAGAATTCGGTCACGTGATAAGTGCGCCACATTTGCATTAGAATTAAAATATTCTTAGCTCACTCTCGGTTTTGTACTTCAACCTAATCATGAACACCCAACCACATCCCCGTTGAAGCCACATGAGCATTAGATCACACTCCCTCATATTTCTACCTAGCAGATACAGCACCAGCTCCGAGGTTTTGTTCCGGTTGGAGATTTCTCTGTCATGTTTACATTTTTGTAAACTTCCCGACGTTTACTAAACCCATCTAATGTCTGCATAACCTTCTCAATATTTATATTATATTTAATTTTTCTAATATTTGCATTTTATATTTGACAGGGTGAAGCACTTATTATATTTTTGTAAGTGTTGCTAGAGTATGGTAGTATATATTAGTAATATAAATCCATTTGAGAATATAAATTACATGTTATGTAATATTCCTTATGTTTTGAAGGGCCAGGTATTGACACTATAGTCTCCCGACTCCACATGTTTTCTGAGCTGTAATATTTACTATTAATGGAATCCATCTTCCAATCCATCGAAGGGTCAGTTACCCACCTTGTGGATGCTGAGTATTTCCAAAAGTCTAATAAACATTTTCATAGCAGCCATCTTGTTTACTTAAACATTACGTGTATCTTCCAATCCTTTGATTGATTAGCTACCTATTTCAGTAGTTAACTTTATACTGACTGAGTGTGCCTTACAAAAGTCTTCCGACTTATAGCTCCTCCAAACCGTTGAAGGCTAACGTATGTTCGCTATAAAGACTGAACATGCCCAACTCCCGAATCCAAAAATTTTATTTGACATATCTAATGTTTATGTATTGCACAACTTAAAGTTCCTCCCAGCTAGTTCCTCCGAATATTTACATTTCACAAAACTTAAAGTTCCTTCTGGTTATGCCCGATGGTCTCGCTGATCAAAGTTCCAAATAGTTCACCCCTTATCTCTAATTGTTCTCCTTCGTATATAGACATGGACCTTGACCCTGTAATCCTTAAAATATAGATAACCTCTTAGGCCTTCTTAATCTCTATCTGAGTATAAACAATGGACTGTGGAGCTGTAATCTCTTATTGTTCTCCTTAACACGTAAACATGGACTTTGTCTTTTAAATCCTGAAAATATAAACAAGCCGTTCTATAAATAGGAACGTTTTTTTTTTTTTTTTTTTCGAAGCTTTTCCTAATTCAGTGTTCCTAAAAGTAAGGTGGTTGTGTATTTCATTAAATACTTATTTTATAATATCAGCAATGAACACATGTCAGTATTGTGATAAACAATTTAGTAGGAAGATGGCTAAACTTCGTCATGAAAATTCATGCCAGACTACGCTACCAAGGCGCAAATGCGTTTACTGCGGTGAGGTTTTTCAATCTCAAAAACAGTGTATGAAACATGTACGTTGTTGCCAAAGAAAAACACCACTCGTTATGACGAAGCGAAGGCGGTTGGAGGCGGCAGTAGGACCTTTGTATGAGATCGAGAAAGCTTTTGGAGGGGATCTCAAGACTTTTTTCCTTCCATGTTATGAATCAATTGATGTAGCGGAATTTCTTAGCAGTAAGACAGACACTCTACGTAGACTGATATCAGAATTTTGTCGGAATCGGAGGTTCCTCTCAAATTCAATATGATTTTGGAGGCCACATATGAAAATGTTAAAGGAGAAACGTGTGATCGGGCCTTCAAAACCAAAAACATTACGGTGTACGAAGTCTCTTCAATTTTGGATTCTCTTATTGAGATGTATGTGAAGATGGTGAGTGAGATGGAAGAGATGGCAATGAAGGGAAGCGGCTGGTCATTAAAAAATCTAGATGGGCTTCTCTTGAAAGTAAACCGATTTAGACCTTTATAGACGTTTGCTGCTTTAAATGTAATAAATAAAAGTCATAATTATGTTTAAACATTTTTTTTTTTTGCCCTTTATTTCATCAAGTGAAGTATTATTTTGTGTTTTAGTTAATTTTTTCTATTATGTAATTATGTATGTAATGTATTATGTAACCGATTAATTTTCAATAAAAAATTAAAGTTCTTTAAAGGGATGATTTATTTATTTTATTATTATTATTTTTCCCCGTTACAACTTTTTTTTTAAATTTAATATACACACTATGAAAAAATGTCCAAGTCAAGGAAGGTTCAAAGACAAGTATTAATTTGTATATCATTTCCAGATTTAATTTTTAAAAGATAATAGATATCTGTTATTCTTTCATGTTTTTTATTATTGTAGTTAATGAATGAATGTATGTTATGGTCCCTGGCACGGTATTACTTTGCCCGTATACCAAGAGAATGTGAATTGAAAAAAAAAATATATTAACTGCAATATTATATCAACAAACACTCAATGCACTCATTCGTTCCAAGACATCAAGTCATGTTTTGTGAATAGTTGACTGTTAATGTTATACTATTTTGACCTTATTTGATCACAGATAATATTAACAATATTCTCATTAAAAGGGATCTTTACCCATCAGTATACAATTCATGGTCTGAAAAGCAAAGATTTAATGAAAGCTTCCATTGAGAATATTGATAAAACAGTTAAACATTACAAAGAAGTTCTTTGCATGATTTTTTGTAAATAGTTTTATTGTAAATATTATTGTGGGGGAGGGGGAATTTTATACAAGTAGTTTTATTTTTTGATAATGGTTATGGGATATGGTATATTTTCTCCCTCCAAAATTCTATCCCAATACTGACAAAGTTTAAATATTTGTAAATAGTTTTTTTTATTTTGCTTTTGTTTTTGTAGTAAATAGTTTTTTTGTAAATAGTTTACTCGTAGAAAAAACAATTGTAATAATGAAAAAATATATTTAAAAAAAAAGTTAGTTTTATTTTCATTAATATGTATATTGAATATTTCTATATTTTAGTTGAAAAACGATGACTTTTAATTAATTTCCCAATTGAAATCTACACTATGAAAGACTACACTTTATCAAAATGGAGAAAGGTTTAAAGAAATTTACAATTTCCAGATACAAGATAATAGATATCTATTATTCTTTTAGTTGATATACTATTGTTGTTAATGGAGGAAAGTGTGATATGAATAGGTCCTTGACGTGATGATAAGGCTTAATTCTAAATTATATGTAGGTATGACATGTTAAAAATCGTTAGTTGAGATAGGAATAAGGTAAAAAGGGGCGTGGTCTAAGTGTCACGTGACTGGCTACGACTGGCCACTGGGTGGAGGGGATGGAGCATCGATGGCATCGATCGATCGATAGCTTGGTGGTTAAGGCTGGCTGCAGGGCTGGCCACGTGGTGGTTAAAGCTGGCCGGACGGCTGACCACATGGTAGTTCAGGCAATCGAAAGCTACCACCCGGATAGCTTACGTGCGCGATTACTCTGACAACGACGTACATGCTGCATACACTGCTTTACAGAATTAAAAATTTCGTTCCAGCAAATGCATGTACGTCGTGTCAGAGTAATCGCGCACGTAATTTCATGTCGAAGTTTGTTACAATCCTTGCTAAAAACTCTATCGCAATACTGACAAGTATTTAAACTAGACATAATTAAATGTAAACAATTAATTAAAATTGCCAAAATTGAGAAGGCAATAAAATTACAATATTTGGTACTTGGATATAATTTATTCCATTGTTTCTTCTCTCATATTGTTAATTCAGTTATCTATCTCGATTATCTTTGTGGTCATTGCAGTGATTAACCAAATGTGTGGGGGAGGGGGGGAGAGTTACAAGTGCATGGGGAGAGGTCAATCCCCTCTCTTCTTTCTTTAGATACTATCCAGTGTAAAAGTTTTAAAAAACAAAAATTAATTTTAATTCTCACAGTTGAATACTAAATATTAAAGTAAATATAGGAGCAACAAGTAAATACCTTTATGATCCCTTGCAAACCGAATGATATAGAAATAAACTGTGTGATATTTTTAATAAATAAAAAAATAATCAGGTTATCCGTACATATAAGGCTCGAAATCGGTTTTGTATCAAATATAAGCTCCTGTCAAGCTCAAATACCATGAATGGGGTACCGTTGGATTCAGCATTTCACGGTGGGTTAGCGAATCGTATTCTCCGCTTTTGTTTTTCTTTCTAAAATAAATAAAGTTATATGATAAACGTTTTGATAGGCTTCAATACTGGAGCGGTGGTATGTCTGTAGATCGATGCGGGACAAATTGGACCTTGAAGATTTTGATGCGTACAGCAAGACCCGTATAGTTCCACCGGATCCTGCGTTTTTAAGCCCAAAAACGTACTATTTTCGAGATAACGCAAGGCATAGGGTTCGCATCCACACAACCTGACGTTAATTGTAGTAATGACATTAGATACATGTCTCATTTCGTCGACTTGAGGTCTCTATGATCGAGACAGGAGGAGTTTATATTATTTATCGATGGTGTTTTTGATCGGCAAGCCATATCATCGTTAATTCTTCACCAAATCTCAAGATTGAGCCACCAATTTCGAAGGCTTCCTTCTCCTTCAGGCAGGCAAAATAGTCCGATCATCCCGAAAATTCAGGCAAACAAGTTATGAAAGAAAAGAAACTTTATTTGCGAATAACTAAAAAATTACACACTTTTCCCTTGGTTATTCCTACGATTATATAAAACATTACTAAATTGTCTATAAAAGGAAAAAAAAATCATTGAAATCGGTCAACTTTTCGCAAAGATACAGCTTATTGAAATTTGTAAACAAAAATGTAGATTTAAATTAATTTTGTTTCCTTTGTCGATTATATTTCTTGATGAAGTAACAATTGATTACTTTATCTTCTCATACATTGCATTATTTTATTTTCTTATTAATTTGGCATTTGATAACAATATGCTGTGCGAATTTTTCGCACGGGCCTACTAGTGGTTTAATATTCTCAGTAATAGACATGTATACTCTTAGTTAATAAGAGAATTTCAAGTCAAGGCTCTGTTGTACCAAACAATAACAATATATGTAATGGACAAATTTGGAAACATGAGGAATATTTAGGTCATTATTGATGATTTTATTGGTGATAAAATAAGGAGTATTGAGGATTTTGGATTGCAAGGATTGGATACGAGAAGAATTCGATTGCTTAATGGAGCACCAAAGCTCAACTCCATATGTCCAAATAGGCCTTATTGTAATCATGTATATGAATCATTTCTAGTTAATTAGACGTTCGTTGGGAGGAGAGAGGAACGCGAGATTCGTCACAAATATATATGATCCGGTTTACATAGAATAATGAATAATAAAAAAATAAATAAATATATTATTTTGAAAAATAATAAAAACATAAAATATCGAATATCTCGGAAACGGTTGGTTTTAGAGCAAAAAGGATCTCGGCCCTAGCCTCCGAAGGCCTCTAGGGGGGTCCGCAGAATTCCATGAAGAACCCATTACCATAATAAAAAATTAGGAAGGTTACTGTAAGGTTATGCTGGTTATAATGGTTGCGATGGAGGGGGAAGCGCCAGATTTGTCATTATGAAAAAGGTAAACAATAGGGGAGTTATAGAAAAACAAAATGGCGGACAAAGGCCCCCTGTCTCTCAAATCGCTAGTCACGTGACCGATCACGTGACTCTGAAAAGGTAAACATTGAGAAGGTTATGTAAAAGATAAACATTAGGAAGATTATACATAACATAAACATTAGGAAGATTACCGGAAAAAACAAAATGGCGGCCAGGCTTATCATCTTAGAAAGGAGTGGGGGGGGGAATGTGAGTGTTACAGGATCGAAAAGGGGCGTGACGATATACAAGGCGTAAACCTCGTAAGTACATGAATATAAGATGGCGGCCGGGTACACTCAGCCTCTTTGAGAAGGGGTGGGGGGAAAATGTGAGGGTCACAGGATCGAAAAGGGGACCTCGTGACGTCATAGAAGGTGCAAACCTCGTAAGTACATGAAAAAAATATGGCGGTTGGGTACACTCAGCCTCTTTGAGGGAGGAGTGGGGGGAAAATATGATGGTCACAGGATCGAAAAGGGGCGTGACTGGTGGTCACGTGACTGACCACGTGGTGGTTAAGGCTGGTTGGAGGTCCTAAAAGGCAGCGTGCCGTCGTTCAAATTCAAATTCAAACTTCCCGCCATGATGACGTCACTGAAATCGTGGCTTCTGATTGGCTGCTCTTTTTGGTGGCCCAGCTCCCCCATTTCTTCTCTACTCAGGTTATACATTACACTAAGTGCAGGTAAGATCAATCTTCCAGCGCTTATTGACACAGGAGCCAGTCATTCGTATATCAGTTCCTTAGGCCTCTCATCTTTACACCAAGAACACATCACGCTGACATCTGTTACCTCTTATCTTGTCGCGGTGGCTAGCGGAGCCAGTTAACAAAGCTGTTGCCTTCTTAGCCAGTGTAAACGGCCGTCAGGTTCAAATATCTTTTTATGTCCTTCCCAACCTAACAGTTCCTTGTCTTTTGGGAATGGACGCCATGAGAGCACTAGGGATAGTAATTGATGCTACTGAAGGGTCCTGGTGGTTTAAAGATATGCCTTCTTGTCGAGCTAAGTTTTCTAAGGAATCTTTGATTGGTCTTAAACAAATAGCGGGAATCAGAAGGTTGAATGAAGAATTTACAATCACCGACAATTCTGTTGGCCTTACTAATCTCGCCGAACATCACATCGATGTTAGAAAGAGCCAACCAATCATAAAGAGCAGGATCACCTCATATGTTTCTGATCAACAAAAGAAATGGGACAAGTATCTACCTGAGCTGATGTTCTCCCTAAACAGTTCTCTTCATAGCTCGATGGGATATACACCAGCCTACTTAAACTTCGGGCGCGAACTTTTACCTCCTAATTCTTATTTTGGTAATTCTAGTAGTGACCAAGTACTGAAATCCCTTGATAATTGTGTTTGGTCTGATCATTTAAATAGGTTGAAGGAATTTCGGAAGATAGCGGAAGCAAGTCTCAGCAGAGCTTCAGCGCGGCAAAGTAACTACTACAACCGTCAACGGAAGGAAGCGACGTTCAGCTTTGAACTGAATAAGAGGTTATCGAAATTGGAAAAAAATCTCGAGGGCCAAGCCAAACATTTTGAGGATATCATTTTGGAAAATAAAGTCCTCAAAGCTCGAGTCGGCGATTTAGAGATCCGCCTGAACAAAACAGAACAGGGTCAATTATGTAGATCGCTAGAGATCCGTGGGATACCAGTGCGAGCTGGCGAGACGCCCGCGGCTCTGGTGACCAGTATAGCCGCGGGGCTGGGCATCAAGCTTGGAGTGGAGGATGTGGATGTGGTGCAGCGCCGCAGAAGCAGGAAGGATGACCCGCGACCGCCGCCGGTAATAGCACATTTCGTCAGGCAGTCAGTGAGGGACGACCTGATAGCGAGAAGAAAAGTGAAGAGGAACTTCTCAACGCGTGATATCGGGTGGCAGGAAAACGACTGCCACCGAATTTATCTCGGCGAGGAGATGACCTCAACGAACAGACACCTCTACTGGCTAGCCCGACAGAAGAGAGCTGCCGGGAAGATAAGATACGTATGGTTCGCTGCCGGCAATGTGCGATGTCGAAGAGACAACGGCCATCAGGTAATCTTGATTAATCATTCATCGGATCTTGACGATTTCGCCTGACTGTACAGGTTTCATCACTTCTTCTCTTTCATCAAAGTATTTCTTGTCTTCATTGGTGCCCAACTAATTTTGAAGATTTTGGTTAAAATGTCTCATAGCTCTTGTTTACTAATATGTTTATTTTCTTACTCTTATTACTCACTTATTTTTTCATTGTTCACTTTTATTTTGTTTATCAATACTTATTTTAAATTTTTTTCAGAATCTGATACATGCCTCATTTTCTCTATGCTAATTTCTGACTGTTTCCCATCAAATCCTCCCCATGTCTAGCATCCTAACCACCTGTCACGTTAACTCGCAATCCCTTCCCGCCCATTATGATGAATTCCTGCAGTACTTTTCTCAAAACTTTTTTCACATCATCGCAATCTCAGAAATCTGGCTCAAACCCTATATTCCGTCCTCATCTGTCTCCTTACCTAATTACACCCTCATCCGCCACGACCGAGTCAGCCGGACTGGTGGGGGGGTTGGCCATATTTGTCCATGATTATGGTTTCTTCATTATAGACTCTGAACTAAATCTCCTCTCCTCTTCTCAACTGCCAGTATCCTTTTTATCGTCTCACGACATGATCCTAATAACATATAATATCCAAACCCCTCTGATTCATCCGAGAACTTTCACTTTCCGTCAGATTGACACTCTCACCCGTGAAAAAATACTGCCTGACCTTGAAGCCTTAGACTTGAACGAAATATATTCCTGCTCCTCCATCGATTCCATGGTTGAGATCCTGACTTCCAATCTCCTCGATATCCTTAACACCAATCCTCCCATAAAAACCTCAACCTTTCGCCGCCGGCCTGCACCTTGGATGTGTCAAGAAATTAAGGATCTGCAGAAGAGGCGTGATGCTGCCCGTAGACGCTTTAGACGTACCAGGCTCACATATGACTATCAAGCGTTTAGGGTGCTCCGCAATTTGACACAAACAAGAATTCGGCGAACTAAAGCTTCCTACTTCCATGAAGCCCTTTCATCTGCCCCAGATCCCAAATCTAAATGGCTAATCCTTCGCAAACTTTCCCTCTGTGAACCATATCCCCTTCCTCACTGGTTTCTTCTGTTTCACCTGACGATTTAAATTCACATTTTATTTCTGCCTCCTCTACCTCTTCTCTTCCCTCCTCTTCCAACTTTGCTCCTGAGTCATCATTTAATGATGATGACTTTTATTTCTTCGAAATTTCCCCGACTGACTTACTAACCGCAGTAATGAAATCCTACACCAATTCCATAGGACCAGATTGCATTCCTGTCAAATTGATAAAATTATGTCTCCCCGAAATCCTCCCAGTTCTCCTTTTCATCTACAATTTCTCTCTACAGAACTCAATATTCCCTTCCTCTTGGAAAAAAGCTATTGTACTCCCTTTAAATAAAAAGCCTAATCCATCCTCTCCCGAAGACTTTCGCCCAATCTCAATTCTTTCCAATCTCTCAAAACCCATAGAAAGATTGGTGCAATCCCAAGTTTCCAATTTCCTCGAAAAGTCCAACCAACTTGATCCTCTCCAATCTGGTTTCCGTCCCGGCTACTCCACACAATCCGCCTTAATCAAAGTTACCAATGATGTTCAGACTGCAATAGATAATAAACAATTAACTGTTCTTATACTTCTTGACTTCTCAAAAATCTTCGACTCCATTAACTATACCATCCTTTTCAACAAACTAAAATCACTTTCCTTCTCCAATAGCTCCATCTCTTGGTTCCAATCTTTTCTCTCACAACGCACCCAAGCAGTCTCCATTCCTAATCAACCACTATCTGCCTACCTGCCTTTATCCTCTGGAGTTGCCCAAGGATCTAGCATATCTCCTCTCCTTTTTAGTTCCTATATTAATGACCTCCATGACTTAATTATCCATTGTTCCCACCACCTTTATGCAGACGATTCTCAAATATACCTATCCTTTTCTCCCCCTGAGCTATTGGTGGCATTTACTAAGATCCTAGCAGACCTAGATCGAATCTGTGCCTGGGCAAACTTAAACGGATTAAGGTTAAATGCTTCAAAAACTCAGGCCATCGTCATTGGTTCCAAGCCCCTCCTTAGATCCTATACCGACTTTGCCATACTAAACCTTGGTGACCAGCCAATCTCCTTCTACTCCTCTGTAAAAAATTTAGGACTATTTATTGATCAAACCCTCTCATGGAATCACCATATTTCTCACATCTCCCGACGGACAATTTCTACCCTCAAACTATTCCATCGCTTTCGCCATCTCCTACCTCAACATACGCGTAGACTCCTCGTTTCCTCTCTCATCTTCCCCCACTTTGACTACAGCTGTGTGGTGTATGATGGACTCTCAGTGGAGCTCCACGACAGACTGAAAAGATTAATGAACAGTAGCGTGAGATTTGTAATTGGTGCCCCGAGATACTACCATGTCTCTCACCACTACACTGAGTTAGAGTGGCTCTTCCCCTCCATTCGAAGACAATATTTCCTAGGTAAATTCCTCTATCATATCATCAACAATTATCGTCCTTCCTACGCCTACAATCTTCTTCAATTCAAGTTCCCATTCCACTCCCTCTCCACAAGATCTCGACCTTCCGACCTTTACATTCCTTCTCACAGATCTGCCTTGTTCCAAAACTCCTTTATTGCTCGCTCTGTTAATTTTTGGAATTCCCTTCCTATCAAAATCCGACATTCTTTATCCCTATCTACATTCAAAACCCTCCTATTCCAATTCCTGTTCCAAAAACAGTCAGATACCAGCTAACCTTTTATGTAAAATTACATATTTTTTTATTTTACATTTTTTTTAAACAGAAAAAGAGATTTTACTGTTAAGAAGAATTTACATTTATTTTGTTTTTTGTATTTTTTCTAAAAGGGTTTATTTATATTTTACCATTGTACATAGTTTTAAGTATCTTAGTATGGTTTCGAGAGTTTTGTATATAGATTATTTTATTTTATTTTGTATATATTATGTATAACGAATTTTTTTTTTTTTTTTTTTTTTTTTTACTGATTTATCTTTATCTTTACTTTTTATGTTTGTTTTTATCTGGCCAGATGTAAAATTTTAATTTCTGTACTTTTTTGTTATTCTGAAGGGACTTCGTCCCAGAATAAAATTATTTTCTATTCTATTCTACTTGGCCCTCTTGTCTCAGCCTTGCTATCCGGATATATTTCACCACATCTGGCTCCTTGTATAAGACACTTGGTTGCGTCTAATTATCCATTCACCATTCTCCTTATGTGAGCCAAATATTCTCCGAAGGACCTTCCTTTCAAAAACTAATATTTTAAACATCTGTTTAATGAAAAGAGAAATATAGGGAAAATTCATCCTCATAGACGAATTTTCTATTGTAATATAAAAAAAAATATTATCGTGACGAGCACTAGCGAATTCTGCAAGGAGGCAAACCTCCCCCTGGATGGCGGACAAAGAATTCTGATAAAGTTCCAAGAAAAGAGTGATGTAGTTTATAGTATAGCACTGTAGTGATAGTGTAGGACACTGTGAGATGAGAATACTTGTGCTCCTGTCACAGTTTGTTCCTATTGACTCCAAACTGAGTCTTGTAGGAGAAATACATGATGGAGGAAAATGTATTTAAAAAAAAATGAACTTCATTTATTCTTTCAAACAAGCTTTTATTCGAGCACAAGAAAATACTGGTTTTCTCCAGGACCCAATTTTTATTCAGTTCCAATAGATCTGAACGCATTGCAATGCCCAGCTACTAGAGTCTCCTTGAAGAATCCATGCGATTCATAAATCTGGTCATGATAATAATTTGTATATTTCTCATTACAAAGTATTGTTCTTTTCTTAAAATAGCTGATATTGGGAACGTTTTCATGAAGGAAGGTATTAGTTTTTTTTTCTTAGAGAACTCATTTCCAAGCTGCAGGGCCATTTATAGTAATCTTTCTCAGATTTTGACA